AGTATAAGGAGAAAGATGTCATGCCAATGGATCTCGCCTATGAAGCTGTTTGAGCCGATTAAGCGACATTGTTACACTTTTTTTACACGTTAAAAAATAAGATTATCGTATAACACATTTTATTGGACATTCTATCAATTTTAAAAGATCCCGCACTAATTATATTGAGAGAAAATCGGGTCCTGATGAAATGAGTCAATTTTCAAATATGATGTAACTTACAATGTGGCGAACAAAAGATGTCATAAAACCAAGACTAAATAATAGAAAATTACGATGACGCGTAGTTTCATGCGAAGTGCGGTCGACTACTGCAATGGTAGTTGATAGGTATCCAGCTCTGATCCCATACCTCGTTAAAAGATTGGAGTATTACAAGGTTGAGCAAAGAGTGACATTGATCAAGGAATGAGAATTCCAGACTAACAATTCAAATACATAATATATTTTGCGCTCAAATTATCACGGATTGAGATTCTTATTAGTCTTCTCTTTATTACTTATTTTGTGTATGTTATAAAAATTAATATATGTGTAGAACAAAAAATAGAAGTATATACATACAGGATTATTAAAAAATGCGGGATTTTCGGAAAACTTACACAAGTGGACGCATGGGATCAGCAGTGACCCCAACTTCTTTTTTTTTAATTTAAGTAAATCAAGAGTGATATTTAAGAAAAATAAATCAGTTTGATAAAATCAACATTTATCTATCAATAGCGATTACTATTACATTCAAAATTAATATGGCCTAAGTACATATTACATACGTATCATATACGCATTTTAACTTGGAAATATACAATATACCTGCTACATATAACATACGTATTTCGACTTGAATATGTACAATATATCTGCTATATGTTACGTACATATTAAGTACGTATTTCGACTTGGATATTTCATATTCATTGCGTTAATTACGTATTTAATATATTATATTTGATATGAAATGAAATACAATGTAAATGGAATATAGATACGTGTTTAATATATTTGCAATGAAAGGCTGTGCAGGTAAGTATTTTAATTAGGCTATCGGCCGCTTGGCGGCTATCATGTTACATCTGTATATTATTTTAGAAAATAATAATTACAAAAAGTTACATATTATATTTAGAATTTATATTTAGGCTTTTTTTCTTTCTTAAGAGTTTTAAAACGTCTATTTTGCGTTTATCGATGATAAGAATTTATTATTAAGTTTAACAGCACCGATTTCCGGAAAATGAAATTAAGAATATAAGTGTATCGCTTCTCTCGATAGCACTTATATTAATCGTGACTTAGTTATAAAGATATATCGCAAACTGTTATTTCGGATCCCATAAGGGCGTAAGGGATCAGATAGTCTGATACTGGTCAGAGAAACTGTGACCTGGGATTTGCGCTTCTTCAACATCTTGCGAAATGTAATTATCCGAACTCTATCACGGGTTTGTTGGAAGTTATTCCAACAATTTAATTACGATTTCCCTTAATCTCTCCAGTTAGTCCTTCAGTCCGTCTTCTGATATTATTAAGATATTTATTCAATATTTATTCACACATACTTAATATATTTCACGCTTATATAGGTTGAGTATTAAACCGTATCGATACTCGGCATCCACATATCTGGAGTTGCAATACTGTTTACTAGTTCATTTAGAATTATAAGTTGTGGTTTACTAGTTCATTTAGGATTATAAGCTGCAATATAATGCATTTATTGTTAGCATTAAACTTATAGCATTCGCACACCTGGAGCTCCAGTATTATTAGTTTATTAGTCATTACATTTAGGATTATAAGCTGCAATGTAATGCATATCACTAGCATGTAAAATAGTTATAATAAATATCTTGGAGAGATAGGATATTACTTCCAATTCAACAGTTTGAGGCTGATTGTGCTTACTGAACCGGTAACGTCGACTATCTTTTTGCAAGAGATTTTTGCAATAATATTATAATAATTTGACAAAATTTTTAATGCATAAAACTTTATTTTAATTTAGTCACATTTCTTTTACATTGTTTAGAACTGTAGTAGATATAGAATTTTATTATAGAATTATGTAGTTTTCCATAATCTGCACTATCCTGGAGCATTTATAATTATTCCTTCTTTTTATTTTTTGTAAATTTTTGAAGATACGTCTTAAAATCTTTCGAAATTATTAACACTGATAGGCTTCAAATATTTGTTATTAGAAATATGTTTTACTATATTCAATATTAAATAATACATTATTAATAGAATTGCTTCCATAACTGTTCGCATATTATAGAGGGAAAGAAATATGTATCATTAAATGTGTATAGCTAGAGAACAAAACAATAAGTTATATTAAAAATTGAATCTTTATTGAATCTTCAATCTTTATTGAATGTATATATAACTATTCAAGATTTATTTAAATACAATATGGAAAAATTTTTTAGTAGAGCTTAGGATGCTTGCCCGGGAAACAAGAGATCCGGGATCGACTCCCGGTCGAGGTAATATTTTTCACAATAAAAATTAATTATTTATAGATTTTAAAATGTCACTCAGCATTATTAAGATCGTTTGAAGGTGCGAAAAGCGTCAAATTGTTAAATTGCTAGTCAATTTAACTTGTGATATTACTGCGGTAGTTTAATAGAGTTAACGTTTCAAAACCGAAAAATCATTTCAGCACGCGTTTCAAAGAATTATATACGTTCATCCCAGTAAACACATTGTTACATGTAACGTACATGTTACATGAAAGTCAGCTCAACAAGGTAACTGTAATATAACGCACTGTGTTATATTAGTATGAAGATAGGAATAAGATTAGGAATATTGAGAAGAGCAAGTAATGATTTGTCTCCGATAATAAGGTGTACAATATTATAAGTCATTCATTGCTCCACTGTTCGACTAATGCTCTTCAATGATAATAGGATTGAATAAAACTAATTTAGAGCATTTACAGAAACCTCAAAATCGGGGTATGACAATAATAATAGGAAGCAATCTCCGCAGGATAAAAATCGAGAATATGCTTGAGGCTACAGTTCATGTCTTAAACAGAGAATTGAATTTAACACATGTTTATTAATTTATAAAATGATAAATAGGCTTTGTCCGAATTACTTATCAAGAAAAATAGAAATTGTACACAACGAAGATGGAATACAAACAAGGTGATATATGTATAAATAGATGTAAGACTAGCGAAGAACAAAGAATGTTGTTATTCGATGGATTTAATTTATATAACAAATTACTGCAGAAGATAAAAAGGGAAGAAAATTTATTAAGATTTAGAAGGGCATTAGTAAAGTATATCAAACAAAGAAGTTATATATAACAGAGGTGAGAGTATAGAGAACGGTATTCTAGTTAGATTATGTAGTTGCGGTTATACATTATATTGTTTATTTCTTTATTTTTTTTTATATTACTTCTTTCTTTTTTATTTTATTCTTTACATTATTTTTATTTTATTTTATTTCGGTTAATTATTTGGTTATAAAGTATTTGGGTATCATTATCTAACTTTATTTCATAATTCTTTTTTATGTTTCATTGATCTGAATCTTGTGTTATACTGTAACTTGCGTATTAAATAAAAGACTATGAAAGCCTACGAAATGACAAAGGAAAGGATATCATTTTAATGCGATATAATAAAAGAAAAAAAAAGAAAAATAATATTGTAGGTTAAATATGTAAAGTTATGTATGTATCATTTTGAATGTGGAATCATATACAGTAGCTATTGAAAAGCTAACACAATAAAGTATCTCTAATCTAATCTAATCTCTCTCTCTCTCTCTCTCTCTCTCTCTCTCTCTCTCTCTTTTTCAATCGTGACTGTCACTCTCATTGACTATTAATGAAAAACAAGAAATAACAGCTGGAGAGAAAAGAAAATCTCTCTCTTGTTTCTTTGTTAGTTCATTTCGTCAACCGTCTGCATCCGACATTCCATAAACAAATTTGCAAGAAATAGATAGAGAGAGAAAGAGAAAGAGAAGAAGAGAGGCAAAAAATAGAACAAGAGCAACAAAGCATGCTGCGTTTACGATAATTTTCCGTTGCGTTCGTGCTCTACACAATAATTGCACCCCTGCAACTCTTTTGATCCAAACCGTCCGCGGTCTGCAACCCGTCGCGCGCGCCTTTGACGTACAGAAATTTAGGTAAACACTGGCTTAAAATTGAACAACCTACTCTTTCATCCGAAGACAACGGACCGGAACTGGGTTACAGAAAATACAATATCACGGAAAATTCTTCGAGCGCAAGATAGTCACCCTTTGATGACGCCATTTGTATATCTTAAAATTATAAGGAAAAAGACAGAAGAAATAAAAGGTATTCTCTAATTACGCTTAGATTACTGATAGGGTTGAAATACATACCTTAGGTAGAAAACTTGTATGTAATAAAAAATAAACTTTTTAAATAAAAATTTTTATCATTAATATAACCATGACTTTTTATAGAATTATAAACAAATGCAAATTTCGTATTCTAAATAAAATTTTCTTACTTTCGCAAATGTATATCTACTCCAATCAGTTTGTATTGTAGAAGACTAATTTCATCATTCGTCTAAACAATCAAACAGAATTATTTTCTATTTGCCCGAAACAAATATAAGTTCGAAGCTTACTGTTATCGTTACATGAAGTTAAATTCAGTTTCTTATTCTACATATAATTCATACTTTCTCGCAATTTCTTAATTTATTCCTACTTATATAGTCTACAATTTTCACAACAGCAATAATTAAAACATGTACAATTTGCAAAAATTGCAAAATTATTTTTACATGATAAATGACCATAATATTATAAAATAATCAGCAGGGAAAAATTTGCAAATGCTATAAATGTCTCAGTCTTCAATCGATTTGTCTCATTTATTTGATAACTAATAACTAATTCTAACTTAAGACTTACTTTAGTCAAATACAATTAATTTAGTAAAGAACTTTTTTAAGCATTTCATGAACATCGAATAAATTACGACTTTTATTCTTGTGGCCAGACAATATTTTCGATCCACGAAAGATAATGGGACACCCTAGTATAAACACTGGGTATATCGAGTATCCCACAACCCGGACCAAAACTGGTGATACCAATCAGTTGGAAGAGGCATTCACTCTTAGGATGGACTATTTGCAGAGGACCACCGGAATCTCCTTGGCAAGTGTCCTTAATGCCGCCAGCACAAATCATACTTAGTGTGATACCGTACGGAATTTCTGTGGAATTGTTATACCGTACTGTACACGATAGATTGTCTACCAGATCCAGCTTAGCCTTTTGTAATCGATCGCTCACCTCTCCACCTGAAGTGTACATAATTTAATTTGAAATGGCACATCTACCTTATAAAAATTTTTAACCTTTATAATAAAGAACTTTGCATTTATTAAGAATCCCCTGCTACACGTAAGTTCTTAATAAATGTAGAACTTTTTGGATACACATGTAGGTTTTCAAAAACATTTAGCTTTACGATTATTTCTTCCAATTTTAGGCTTTTCGTAGCAAATTTTCCCGTGAGGAATTGCCGAACTACTTACTGTATTCGGTAACACCCCAGCCGCTCACCCAAGCCTGTGTGGGCACGGAGTCAAAAGGCTGATAAAGACACGCGGGTCGTACAGATGTGTTAAAAGTAACAGGGGTCATAAGCTGTATCAGAGCAATGTCCGCATACATCGCAGGTGGTTTGTAATCCGGATGAGTTTTTATATCTTTAATGACAATTGTGATGCCTTTTTGGTCTGTCAAGCTGTGGAAGCCTATTCTTGCATCAGTTACACCGCCGCTGCAAAAAGATACAATGTATAAGACGACCTTTGTTAATCAAATCTTTAAATAATTGCAAGATATCAGTCACTTAAATAAATTATATTTTAAATTTGCAATTTTTAATACATTTAAATTATAAAATCAAGTAGACTTTTAAAATTTCATAATTTTTTCTCAAGATGTATAATATGCTGAAAAATACTTTAATCTGGAAAAGTATTGTCAAACTTTAAGATTTTATCTGATTCATCGTTACTTTCACAATAAAATGGCTATCAGAAAAATAAAAAAAGTTTTTTCGTTAGAATTTTTAAGTTTCTTTCTCTTTTTCTTTCTTTCTAATTTATTTAGGGGGGATCATTAGCGTTTCAGAATGATTATGTTGAAAGTCCGAAAGTATCGGCGCGCAATCATATCTGGAATAAATTGATTTAATAAAGAATATATAATATATTATTCGTAACATCTAACTTTGTCCGATCATGACTTTCTTTATCGTATTTGATGAATTCTTAAGTAGTTTAAAAAAGTACTAAAATTTACTCTGTTCCATGAGTACAATGAGCAGCGGAAATCACCCAGTTATGTGAAATTAGCGTGCCACCGCACATCAAGACGAACTCGTTGGCATTACGTTTGCCCAGGGCGACCATGTGAGGGAACTCATCAACTCGCGCCTCGGTACCACCAACCACCAAACGATTCGTACTCTCGCAATTATTAATCACCTTGCGCACGTTCGATGAACCAGGCAGAGTCATTACGAAAGACGTACCCGCAATTTCGCCTATATATTCCTCGCACTCTGAAATTTATTTTGTAGATGTTATTGTGATTTATTGTGTTGATTATATAAAGATATGTTGAAATATATATATATAAAAGAAATAGAATCAATGAGTTTTGTTTAAGTGCGTGCGTGCGTGCGTGCGTGCGTGTGTGTTAGACGGATATTTATAAATGTGTAAATATTTATACTTTTAGATTTTTATATCTGTAGATTTTTTTACTTATACAAATTCTTAAAATACATAATTACAATTTACTTACTAAGTTCTGATATTGGTGTCACTGGCTTCATCTTAAGGGATAGCAAATCCTTTAATGACGGTAGGTTTGAAACTGGAAGATAAATTTTTGGAAAAATAAAAGTACAAGATATTATAAAATTATTATCAGATGCTGGTGTATTAATTATTAATATATGAGGTATTAGTGTAAAATATGTTAATGTGCGATAATATGATAATGGCAGGGTTGGGTAGTGCTAAGTTAAAAAGATCAAAGTTAAAAAACATCGTGTAATATGGTTCAATTAATATATAATTAATAATATAAATATAAAATTAATAATAAAAATGTTGAGAAGGGCTATGAACCATAAGAAAACAATATTTAAATAAAAGATATAATATAATTAATAAGAACTAGGTTTGTAACCCTTCTCAACACTTTTATTATTAATTTAAGTTAAAAAGTTAAAAAGTTAATTAATTTTAATTTAACTTGGAAAGTTATTAGAACGCATTGTACGACTTGCGTGCAAATAAATTGAAATGTGTATATTATCATACGTAACATAATAATATCTATTTACTTTCTAATCATAAATATAATTAATATATTAATTTAGAATATAAATTTTTAGAATTTAAGTTTAAAAATATAAAAATTTTTAATTAAAAATATTTTAAAAGAAAGCAAATAACAGAATCAGAAAATTTAAAAATCTTCTTTATAACAATACAGATATGATTTTTCTAGAATATGTACGAACCTTTTAGGAGATTTATAATAACGTTCACAATTGTACAACACCAATTACTACACCAATAACGCAATAACAACACAAAATAATTCACAGGATCGTTTCTGGCGATAAATAGAACTTGAAACGATATATTATTAATAATAATTCCGAATTTTTCCTACCAATGGATCGGGTAGAAGTCATATCAATGATTAGGAAGATTGCAATTAGGCCAAAACGAAAATCCATCGCGCAAAGGATGTGTGAGTAGATATCAAGTATTCGATGTTAAAACATTTAACGCCAGAGATAGCTATGCGCTTCTCTTCCACTTCTCCCTCCTAATTTTATAAAGAATGAAAGATGGCGATAAGTAAAGGAAGCAGAAAGAGACGAAGATGAGAACAGAGTGTGTGTGGAAGATCAGGATGGGGAGCGGTCTTACATAGTACTCGAGTCATCACTCAATCATGTAAACAGACATCGTAATTTTTATAATAAATTTGATAAAACAAATAGTAATCGTTAATACTAAAAGTTAAATTATAACATTATCTCAACAGAGTTTTGTAAGGCTATTAAAATTATAAGATATATGCGATTTAGAGTACATTTAACGTAAAGTAACTTTGCAAGTATAAAGTATAATTAAGTACATAATATATTTTGAATATGGATATTTCAGTATTTATCTATAAAGTTGGCACGATTTACATGAATTTATAATCATTAAATCATGAATATAATTAAAAATTTAATTTTAATACTTAATGTTATAATATTTTGGTTAATTATATTAATCGCGTGCGATATAATCATAAATTTTAAACTTTCAATAAAAAACTGAAGTTTCTTAATAACCCTGGACTTTACCCTTACCCCTAATATTTTTGCAAAATAAAAAAAAGAAAGAAAAGGAAAAAAATAAAGAAAAGAAAGGATGAATATGAAAATTGAGAATCTCCAATTCTCTGATGCAATTAATCGAAGCAAACGAATTAATTAGTGTAAAAATTAACAAGATAAAAAGATATAAAAAAGGAAAGAAACAAATCAAACGGATATTACTCATAATACACAGGAATATATAAAATAATATACTTGTAATACTTACAAAAAAATGAATGAATGTATGAATGAATGAATGAATGAATGAATGTATCTACATACTCAGTGAGAAATGACAATGGAATCGACGTCGAATCAATGTTGATTCGACGTCGATTCCATTGTCATTTCTCACTGGGTATGTATATATATATATATGAATGGTATTGCGCGAAGAAATAAAAGTCGAAATAAAAGAAACAGAAGTTATTTAATAATAAATAAATTGGAAATTAATCAACACTTAATGAATTAAATAATAATTATTATTACACAGACTATATAAACATATACATAAAATAAACAAAAAATTTAGTATTAAATAATTTTGTGATGAACAAAAAATGTAATGTATAACACTTACAAATTTTTATTTTATACTAATATATTTACATATTCACATATGTCAATATTTACGTATTTACTTAATGCTCATGTGATGCTGTAAAAATACTTCGGCTTGATGTATTCCTGTCTCATAAGCTCCATGCGTCGTCGAGTAAAACTCGTCATGCGTAGCTTCGCCGGCAAACAATATGACTGGTAGATTCTGTTATATTCGCAAAAATTTACAAATTGGACAATAAATTTTAATTTGTTTTTTTAAATTTATTTTTTCGAATCTTTACATTATCTTAATTAAATAATATAAAAATGTTTAAAAATGACTATAAAATCTTCACAATTTAAAATTTTTTTTAAAAGAATGTTAAATAAAATGTACTTATGTTACGTAAGTAAGTATTATAAGTTACGTAAATACGATATAATCTCACCTTTTTCCTCTTCATATCAATTTGCATCGTCGCCCAGACTGGTTCGGTCAATATCTTTGGTGAAACATCATCCTCCTCACAACTCTTCGTGATGTGACTGTAACCGCCTCCCACGTAACTATTCTCGTTCCACTTAGTTCGGACGCATCTTCTGACTGGCGGTATATCGCGATATCGTACGTATCGCGTCAACAGATTTATACAATCTTCCGCAATTGTTTCCTCTGATAATTCTTCAATGATATACGCCCCTCGCCCGCCGACCCACACTACAAGAGTGGCCGCATGAATCGGCAGAACATCGAATCCTGTGACATACTTGGTCCATTCCGGCAAAGATGAGTGATCAGCATCCCTGCGCCAAAGCAATTGGAAACCATTCACACCTCTTTGCCACCAGGGTTCGCCGAAGTCCAGGAAAATCTTATTAATCGTTCCGAAACCAAGATCCTCAATAGCAACGCTTAGACGATTTGGTAATAGCGGTTGGAACATCTTCTGATGATTACTCTTCAAATAGCCAAGCGAACAAGTAACTATGACCGCATCAGCGAGAATTTCAGTGCCATCGAAAGTTTTCACGATAATTGAAGAATCATTTGGAGAATCAATGAAGTTCTGCCAATGAATGATCTCCACAGGAGTGGATAAACGTAATTTTCGCTTATCCAGATTGTTAACGATAAGATTCGTTAAAGAACTGTAGCCGGATTTAAAGAGCAAATGTTCCGGACCGCCAACATACTGTAGAAATCATTGTTTTTAAAGTACTTATTTTTGAAACTATGATTAAAATTGGGTTTACCTTGAACTTTCCCCAAAGAACTGCTGACAAATCGTCTAACGAGTAGCAGCAATTGTCTACTAGGAGAAACCGCACATTCCAATCGAAGATTTCCTCCTTCATCTTCCTTTCCACCGGAGGATCATTTCTCTCGTCTAGATAATCCTTAAACCTATTTCTTATGATCGAACCGATATTCTCCTGCTTTTTCAAAGGCTTTTGAGATTCGCAGGTATCATCTAAGACGGTTCGTACGAGATCATCGACTTCACGAACCATGCTATCGCTCATTATCGTTCCGTCATCGCGCAAGAAAATTCCGTCGCCATCCGTTCCTTGAATTGTCGATAATAAATTATTGTTGAGACAGTATTGAGCAAGCCTGCTCTTATCACCATGCAGGAATTGTGCCCCGCAATCTCCCCAGCCATTATCCCATGGAATAGAATGAATTCTTCCTCCAACTATGTCTTGAGCTATGGAATAGCATAAGATAATCCAGAGAATTATATTTTTATTTTTTTGTATTTAGAACTATTTTTCTATTTCTTATTATAAATTTTTATATTATTATTGATCTGTTCCCAAGCAGAACCACAAATCATTATGATGTCAAAATGACTCCAAAATCGTTGACCAAACGATCATTAAAAGTCATTTTTCAATAATTTCCGATTCATTTTAATGTCATTTTGATCGTCATTGTCGTGACTTATTGTTCTGCTTGGGTCTTAAAGATTAGTCAAATTGATCAGATTGAATAAAAAATTAATTAATATTAAGTAATTCTTAAGAGATATCACATATATGCATGTACCCTCGAGAAGAAGGTAATCCATAAATCCCGCATCCTCCAGAGTTTTTGCCGCCGCCAATCCTGCAATTCCTGCGCCTACTATCACAACTCTCGTCTTTTCCATTTTTCTCGCACTCGTATCAATCTCTATCCGTAACGCTTCATCGAAGTTGTCAATCAGTTGATCTAAGCGATTGTACGTTCTACGTCATCCGAAGTAATTAGTCATCCAAAGTAATTAGTTATAATATACATATTATCTCACATAAACGTACACATATACACATATATGATACATGTATCGTTTGCTATCTTTTTATAAATTTATTCTAACAATAAGTCATAAATATTCTATTCTATATAAAAACTACATATATAAATAAATTTTAGGATTTATTTGGAGAGGCTTTCGATGCAATAATGATCTACAACAGGAAACACGAATAATAACTATAAATAATGAACACAATAAATAAATAATACCAAATATAAATATTATTCCTTTCACTGTTAACTTCATGGCATATATTTCATGTTTATAAGTTATATGTTTCTAAACTTTACATTAATTTATAGTATTAAAATTTATATTATTGTAATATATAATGTATCTTTATACAAATGTTTACATCTTATAAACAAGTATCGTAGTGCCTTAAATATATTTGTCTGTGGCGAATATTGAAAATTACAAATATATATTTCTAGTTTTCCGCAATCCATTCATTATGAAGGTGTAGTTGTAGAAGATGTGATTTAGAGGTGAGAGTTTAGTTGCCTAAGAAAAAGCATGCAATCAAATATAAATATAATTGCAAAACTATTTATGTAAGATTTGAAGCCAATATGTTTAAAAGTAACAATAAATAAGCATAAGAGCCTTTACTCCTATTAAGTCTCATATATAAAATAAAAAATATAGTAAATGCAAAAAGTTTTCCTACAGAACATATTTAAGAAAAAAAACCCTTATTTTTAAAAAGTAAACATTATTTAACAATTTATTAACAAAGAATAGATTGCATACTTCTTAAAATTACTTTACCTAAAAAGATGTGTAATGATAAAAATATATTCTCTTAAAAATAAGCGAAAATAAAAAACTGTATTATTTGAATGCACAAAAGTGTTCGTATACAATCGAAAAATTTAATTTCTAAAACCATAAGCACACGAAGCTTGTTTATATAGGAAGAATATACTTATTGTACGAAACTGCTAATTAATGTTTATTTTTTAAATAAAGCTTTTTATATAAAAATTTCGCCTGTATAATGAATAATTTTTGCACTCATTGTATACGTCTCAACCGTTGATATAACTGATATAAGCCCAGTGAGAAATGATAATGAAATTGATGTCGAATCGACATCGATTTGATGTCGATTCCATTATCATTTCTCACTAGGATGCTGCACATAGTAATATAATGCAACACAAAACGAAATCGTGCAACAGCAAAAACAAGCGGGAAGGATATATTATGTATGATTGCATAAAGAAATACACATCTTTAAAACTAAATTTTACTTAACAGATTACTCCCTTTTTTCATTCAATTTTATTAAACTGGAAAAAATTTAAAACTTATAATTTCAAAAATATAATAATTTCAATAAAAAAAAACTGATAAAAAAATATTTGACAATCATGTTTAAAAAGAATTTTTTGCAATTTAAAAAAAAATATTTTTGATTAAGTAAAATAATAAAAAAACATTTTAAGCATTATTGTAATATTACAATATCGCACTTATTACGCTTTTGATATCAAGTTTTTACACGAATTTTAACTGATATTATCTTACCTTTTAAAATCGATTAGTCTATCCGCTTCGCGGAAACCAGTTTCCACGGCACCGTGCACAGTAGAATAATAATGATCATGCGTAGCTTCTCCAGCGAAAAGGATTACCTAATCACGCGATGCATTTTATTAATATTAATAATCTTTTATATACAATTTGATTCAATTTATATAAAAATACGTGATTATACATATACATGAATAAGTTAAAGCTAAAAATCAAAGAACACATCTTGGATATTATTATCAAAATAAACAACTATATGGAAAATAAAGAGACTAACTATAATGTTTCATACAATATAACTTGCATAACATTTAAAAATATGTTATATTTTTATTTTGGGATTACATACAGGTTTAGTTCCAGTCATAATTGGCTCTGCTAAATCTCTCGGTGTTACATTCATATGCTCAGAAAGCATGCTTTGAAAACTGTATGAGCCCCGAAAATGTTCATTAGTATACCATTTAGATCTAAAAATAAAAATAATAATTTAGACGAGAGAATCTTATTACTTTTCTTTTAATTAATTCCAATAGGACATTACCTTAATATTCTTGTTGGCTTCACAACATTATAACGTTTTCCAAACGATTTTTTTAACAATAAATATAATCCATCGAATACGTCAGTATCCGATAAGGTTTCCATGTGTCTCGCATTTTTTCCAACTATCCAAGCACATAAGAGATTCGGCTGATGAGCCACGATGAAAAACGAGAACACATCACATAACCATTCGCTATTCTAAAATAAATATTTAACGAAATTAATAGAAGACCAGTAAAAACAAAAGATTGTCGAAATTAATTTTAGCAATATATTATTGTTCGCTTTCATCTCTAAGCTTAGGTAAAATTATACATTCGAATATCTGCTTACTTGACCATAAGTTTGCAAGAATTCTTTTTTATCTTTTTCCGGCCAGATAAAATTAAAACTGGCTTTATCCTCCGGCCACCATCTGTGCGGAAATTCGAGAAAAATCTTGTTTACTGTTCCAATATTTAATCCCTGTGATGGCGAAATAATTAATTGATTTTTGTCAATCGTATGAAATACCATTTTATTTACAACATAATATTAATGCCAATATTCGATTTATATTATTAATAAAACCTCTATCGCGCGTTGTTTCTTCTGCGACAAAGGTGGCACGAACATCGATGAATGTTTCTCCTTCAGAACACCTAGAGACCCAGTGAATATAACATGCGATGCGGAATATTTGCATCCGTCTCTAGTAATAATCATTGCATTCTCGCCTGAGCTATAATTGATAGTTGTCACAACTTTTCCGAACTCTATCTTTTCCATTACTGGTAAACATTCCTTTGGATTTGGAATCTTTTGCTGATAAAATAATCATATATATTTGATTAAATAAAAATAATAGATATATATCTATATATATAAAGTATTGTTTTACTGAAATGTATTATATAAAAACATTTATTTATTTATTTATTAAAAATTTATTGTACACTCGAACATTAATTTAATTTTGAAATAACGATCACGAACTATTTCTTTTCGATGCAATATATTTTAAATTTTATTTTCAATTTCAACGTTATATAAAATGGAAAATTATTGAAAACATTTCCGTACATTTCGATTTCCAGTCCAATATTAATTTCTTACCAATAACAGGTCAAAAATTGTTTTATAACCATAGTTTTTCCAATCCAACACAAGATCGCCCTCGCATTCTCGATATTCTGTCAAACGTTTCGCGGAAACATCAAACCATGTGTCGCTACATTGTATAGAATTTTCCATTTTTTCTATCCAAGATAAATATTCAGCAACTCGAGCACGATTCGTGAAAGGATTTGTATCAAAAGCTTTATAATATCTACAATGTTAATGTGATAATTAAATTTATTAATCATAATGTATTATCATAATATCAATCCAACATCCGATTTATATCTATCTATATATGCAGCACTTTACTTTAAATATTAAATAAATGCAAAATAATTGAATAAATTATAATTTTTTAATTTTGTTTTTTATCTATCTTTCTTTCTCAGCTGCTACAATATTTCATAAACATTACGCTATTAAGTGTATATTAATTATTAACTTTGCACTCATGTTTTATGTATATATGCATTAATGCTTACATTTATATTAAAAAAAGATTTTATTTGGTAAATTCATTTATACTTTAAGCAAATTTTGTTGTGAACAAAGACAAGGATTTGTATACTTCACATTTTTCTGATTCAAATTTTAGGCGGGTAGAAAGCAAGAATGAATCATCACAAATTGTGGTGGGGAGACTGACATCAGCAGCATGTCACGTGCAGTCATTCTGTCACGTATAAAGCTGCTATTTCGTTTGTATGTTTCGTCGTATGACAAATGTATACAGGACAGAGAGGTCCTCGGATCTCTCTCTATCTTGTAGCCAATCAACAGGCTTGAAAAATTTGTTGTACGACAAAAACGCACAAATGAAATATCACCTAAAGAAAGCATAGCCTTCAATTGTGATATTTAGTTTTTACTGAACTAAATTATTTAACTTGAGATCTATATTTTTTAATATAGATCTTTAAATATCCCAATCATATACCATGTTCATGTCAATGCAAATTATTGCAGAAGCAAGCACAGCGGTAATGCAATCAAATCACACTGATACTTGCAACACAACCTAACTTTTTTTGCTAATAAAACTCAGCAAGATGTTTGCAAAAAGGTAACTATCTGAATATTAAGTTACTATTAATTTTATAATCATAACCTATTTTGTTACCATCAAGAAGATTGAATTCTTACAAATTCAGAATTTTTTAGTTATATAAACAATATGTGCAAATGTGTCATCTTGAAAATGCAAATGTTCAATGAAAAACACAATTCTAGGAAAGTAGATCCGGAGTTGGAAAAATTGAGAAACGAAGTGGATGGACCACCAAATTTAGATATGACTATTGTGAATATTCAGAGAGAATCATCGCGCATTCACGCTGCATATTTGTTTGAGCATATTGGTAAAGCTACATTACAAAAACTATGTTTGTTGCTGAGTTCTACAGCAACAGGGAAAATCTACGATGGATGGCAGGAGTTCGCAGCACATATGGGCTTAACAATGGAACAGATACGTGTAAGATTATCAGAAAAATGACAATTATAATAAGTAATAAGTATGCATACTAACTCAAACTAATTCATAACATATTGTATAATAATAATGTAAGTATAATATTATAATGTCATTTTGTTGTCTAGTGCATAGATTATGATTTCAAAGGACTCCAGGATCCAACATATTACGTGCTTTTGGCTTATGTGCAGTTTCCAGAGGCAACAATAGACAAAATTCTGAGTGCTTTGCAAAAAATGCAACGACTCGATGTAATAAATCAGATTAAGGATTATGTGCATGATCTAGTCAGTGCTACATCACAACATGTCATAAGCCACGGTAATGTAAAGAACAGTAACATTTCTTTTTTCTGACATTACAAAATAAATCATGAGTCGCACACACATACACAAATTTGGAATTTAAAAATGTCATAATTATATACAATTATATTAATTTTTAGTACACACAATGATTTTCTGATCTTTTACTACACCAGTAAGTCATTCGTATCCTGGGTTAATTTTTATCACTTTAACAAATTATTAAATAATTCGTACAAGTGTTTCAACATTTTTACAAAGTATTTATATAAAAATGTGCATTTAAAAAAATTGTATATAAATGTTATACTAATACTTGACTTATTTGAATTAATTACTTGAAGCTCCCAGTTTTTCGAAGAAAAGAACTGAACTAAGTCACGAATGATCCAATAATGTATATTAAGACTTAATTATTTGTTTTAGATTTAGGACCTAAAATAATTCAACCTGGACATATACCAAAAGCACCATTAGTTCTGAGTCCAATTTCAACAGTGGAATGTAAAACTAAAATGAAAGAAAATGAATCAATGTATATGCCACAAGATAGTCAGCAGAAACAGGTTGCTCAACTGATTAATATATCCATGAAAATTTTTTTTAACAAAGAGCAAGATTTTAAATTAAAACTTTTTTAATATTATATTTTGTATCCTATCAGCATAAACAAACGTATGGCTGCATAGTTATGTTGACGTTTGCTAATGACGGTTTGCCAACTGCTGAGTGCATCACGAAGATATTCAGGTCTAAACAACCACGAATTGGTGTACTTATATTACAAGAGCAAGAGAAAAAAGTCTATAGTCGAGCTGAAGAATTCATAGATGACTGTTTCAAGCAGGTAAATCAATTTCTTCTCTTTTTCGATATAGCCCAAATCAAGTACTGGCTTCCTACAGAGTTCTGTAAACTTCGACTTCGTCTTAACTTTGTTACAATTTTTATAAAAGGGAAAGTAAACCCTTTCCAAACTTCTATTCTGGAGAAATCTGGAGAATCAAATTTTAGAAGAACCAAATTTCCTTTATGAACCGCTAACTATGTCAATTTCTTTTAACATCAACACTGACATTAAGTATTATAAATTAATCTACTTTTAGGTTGATTATGTTATACCAATACTGACAAAAGAGTACATCGAAAAAATCAATAACCCTATAAAAATGTGTGAACAGCTGCATAACAACTTGGATACAAAATACTTGAAATACATATATTCTTTATTGAGATACGAATACGTAAGGAATCAATGTTGCAACAACCGTGTGAGGTACATATAAATTGATAAGTCTTTAATAAGAAATTTTTAACAGATAATTCTTTGATAGGTGTTTATGATAATATCGTTTATATTTCTTTATAAAATTAGTATAAAAGTATGTGTAAAACTGCCTTTGTTTCTCTTATCAGATGTAATGTATAATGCCTTATAAAGACATTTATATGATTGTGTTTTTGTTATCAGATGTATTGTGCCTGATAAAGATGTTTATATGATTGTGCGAGAAAATCTACATCCCACATTGCAAGCATGGTTTCGTGAAAGTGATATCGATGATTTCGTGAACAATATTCTCTTTCATAAAATTTGATATGAAAAAACCATTATAAACTTACAAAAAAATAAAAATTTTATGAGCACCTTTTAATACCTTATATTTTTTTAAGAGACTTCTAAAATATTTAATTAATATATATATTCTTAATAAAAACTCTTATAGATAAAAACAAAAGTACTTACTCTCTTATGAAAAAATCTCCGAACGATCCTCTTTCCTCTTTAAATTTTTCCTGTTTTACTTTATTCAAATTATTATAATAAATCATCAGAGCTTCGTTGCTTTCATCATTGGATATTACTTCACCATTAATGGTGATAAATTCATGTTTGTTAGAATCATACAGAACTGCGAATGAATCTAGTAGATCATGTTTGGAGGCAAGGTCGAACACTACATTTCCAGATTCTCCATGAACCCATTGAGCTCCAAGATCTACCACATTTTCACCTGGAAATATTAAAAAATGCTTAGATTCAAAATTTTCTTAAACATCCAAAGTTTTAAAAATATAAAATTGGAACTGTTTCAATATCAAAGATAACATACAAAGTTAAATTTTCATTAATTCAACACCAATTTGGGAGATTATTATTTACCAAAGTCTTTGGTATATATTCTGCCACCAATCTTATCGTTGGCCTCCAATATTACAAAATCGTTTACTCCTCTCTGTAACAGTCTCGAGGCAGCAGCAATACCAGCTGCACCTGCTCCAACAATCACAATTTTTGTTTCCTTTGACATACTGCAAGCTCTTGACGATTGCACTGCACCCAACAGTTTTACTGCACCGTTAAAGGAATATCTCTGTATATTGTCAGAGATAAATGTGAATAATGATCTTAAATGAACTTGAATTGGCTCAAGCAGATAACGCATTGAATTAGGCAAATTGCTGGCTAAGAAAGATTAGTTATCTCAGTTAACATGAGCAAAATACATTGGCGATTTGCAATCTTCTTAAATTCCATGAAAATACGCGAAAATTTAATCTTTACAGAATATTGTAAGAAAATTAAAAGAAAAAAAAAGAAAATTAGAGTATATTTTATTATCTTTCGTGTTTTTGTGTGTGTGTCTTTTCTATAAATTTAATTCAAATATTGTATTTCATATAACATCATTATCCATTGCTTCACACACACCTGATTAATTTTATTTTAATGTTAAGCATACTGCGAAAAATTTTTATTCAACACTTCGCGTTAGAATGTTCGAGCGAATCCTTGAGAATGCATATGCAACCGCAAAGCAAAGCTTTTGGGGAAAAATACACTAGTATACTTCTTTACCGCGATGAATAAATACTAATGAGCAACCGAAAGTGCCAAGCGGTGAATCATTTAAAAAGAAAGATTTGCCAAATATCACTATTCTCAGTGATATCAACTAGTGATAGCTACAATTTGCTTACACTCACATACATTTACCATGCACGACTATATCCAACTGTACATAGATCGCGTTGTTCCGAACGAATGAGAGATACTTGTACATGCGCAGTAAAGGGAGCGTTAGCAGATACTATTGGCACATATTTATATAATAAATATTAGTATAATAAAAGAAATATAATTAGATTTTTAAGAAAAAAAGAAAAAAATGATAAAAAGTAATAAAAAAATTTTTTTCTAAAATATAAATTTTACATTTTTTTTATGGAGGGAAATAACTAATTAAATTTATTAATCTTGAGTTAATTTATCACAGAATTAATATCAACACATTTAATGCAAAAAAAAACTATGCAGAAAACACCTTAAATTATTAGTATTTTAATATAAATACAAAATTATATAAACTATTGCAATCATTTTACAAATGTAAATAATATTAATAAATACTTTAAATAATAATTTATCGATCATATTACATAAAAATTAATATTCTTATTATTATATATATTATAATAATAATATATATAATAATACTTATAATTTAGTTGTATAATATATAAATACATACCTATATGTAATATATATTTAATATATTTAATATACAGGGTGTTTCCAAATTAAATGGCAAAACTTCGGGAGCGTGTAGAGGAGTAAAAAACTAAGAAAAAAAGTCCTATAGACATATGCTCGTTTTTGCTTTGTTTCGCAGGAAATCACGAAAAAAGAAAAAAATATATTTAATTTATTATTTTAATTATTTTATTTATAAACTTTTTAATGAAGATTTTGTTCGAAATGTGCACCTCTTGCAGCAATACAAGCATTGCATCTGTCAAACACGGCTCTTGTAGCAGCCAGGCACTGTTCTTGCGATATTCTGTTCGCTGCAGCTACGATACGATTTCTCAAATGTTGCTCAAATGTTCCCTGCCTGCAAATCTCTTCGTAACGCTGCTTGAAATCGGTTGTTTTCTTGTCGAATTGAAAATGATCCAGTCTCTCGCAATCTATTAAATGTCAACATAAACACTCTTCGGTTTGGCACTCTTCTGTTTGGAAATCGTCGTGCATATTCTCGCACCGCCTTTAAAGCATTACCGTTGCAGAAACCGTATACAAAAACCATATCAGCATATTCACTATTAGAATACGTACGCGGCATATTGCAAAAGACAAAATTCATCTACTGTTAAAGGCTTTCAAAGAGCGACTGACAAATTCATAACAGAAAGTGGAAAATGTAATCAAATATGTCGGTGCTAGATATGGCAAGAAATGTTAACATTTTTTTTCGATTTCTCTGAAACGGAGCAAAAACGAGCATATGTCTATAGGACTTTTTTTCTTAGTTTTTTACTCCTCTACACGCTCCCGAAGTTTTGCGATTTAATTTGGAAACACCCTGTACACTCGTCAAAACAAAATTATCGTATAGATAAAGGACTATGCCCAGTTTTATAGGAGAATTTGGGCCCCAGATGAACAACTTTGAGACATGCCTAAAATTTTAAGGTATCAAAAGAGAATAAAAAATTCCATAAGTCTAACTTTATAGGAGAGGTTTCCTAAGTGAATAATTAAAATTATTAGGGCAGTATTTATGAATTTTCATTTAAAATTGTCACAAGCACAATTTCTATTGTATAATCATTAGCTAAATATAATTTTAAGATCATAATTAGGGCGATCACAAATATAAAATACTGTGCAGAAGTTAACAAGACATTCTATTAATATAAAAAAAATAATGACAGTTCCAGTAGCACTTTTCATAATTAAGTTATTCTTATAAAAATAAAAAAAAATCTCCGCATCACATTTTTATACTAAAAACTCAAAACTGAAATATAGTGTTAATTTCGTAGATCTAGCTCGACACTTCCCCTCTAAAGTACACAAGAAAAAAAAATATTTATACTTTTGGATATAATTATAGTAATTAAAAAATAAAATATATAATAATACAAAATAAAATAATTAATAGAAACAATTAATAAGGTCGTTTATTATATCTTTACAAAATTATAAATAAATTTCGATCCTAAAATTTGATACAAATTATAAATCGTCTAAAATAGGCTATAGTTTTATAAACAAAATAAAGTAGAAATTTTACTCTGAATTTACATAAAACTTCATTCATTCGAACATAACCTATTATATTTTAACCACGTTTCCTATAACCATTTATAAATTAACAAGTATTAATTTCAAAATTTAACTTAATCCCGAAATATAGTTTATTAATGAAGATCAATTCAGTTCTTTATTTCAAAAATGTCTAAAATTTCTTTAAAGACTTCCAGCACGAGACTTTCGCTCCAACGTTTAAAGTAAACAACCAATGCCGTTAAAATTAAAACATTGAATTATTATGTAGAAATTGTTAATTATATAAAGTCATATTAATAAAATATTTTATATATACAATTTTAATTTTATTCTTTTTTTCTTTTAATTGTGGAAGATATTTTCTTTCCTTTAATTAATTTTATAATTTATGTTAATTCTGTTAACACCAATCAGATTATCTTCATATCTTATCTACAGTTTGCCGACATCAAAAAGGAAAAGTAATTATTTATTAGACACTGTTTTCCGAGAGAAATGGCCAAAGAAGAATTCAAAGCTGAAGCCGTTCAGATTTTGTTGTTCTTTGGATCGTTTCGATCCTCTTTCGCGATACGATCAACGAAAACCGCCCTACAAATCTTCACTAACGGCAATAACTTCTGTGCATGAGTGTCCAGTGGCTAAAATGCAAATGAAATTTTCCATGTCCCGACTTTCTCGGGAGAAAAAGAGACCAGTCAAAACAAGAACGTCAGATGCAGGAGAACAGCAACGATCATTAAAGAATGATGGATTAAATCATTTCCAGATCAGCAGAAATAATCGCTTTATAAGGCAGTATCTAGAAGATGAAATTGCATTGGCAAAGGATATCTTCTGGGCAGAAAAGAAAAGAATTTATAAGGAGGCAAGCAACAAGGCGATAAAAATAGCAAAGAAGAAAAGTAAGCCTCTTCTAACAGTAAGAATACAAGATCGGATTAAAAGCAAATTCGGTTGAACGCATTAATGAGCACTGGTGCATATTAAAGCCCTTGTACACTGATTAATCTGAATGTAAAAGTGAAATACAAATATTTCGAATTATAAAGTACATATTTTACTTAATGACACAATAAAATGTATAGTCTTCACGGTTTAACTTTACGGTTTAAGTAATTTTTATATTTATATTAAACACACACACACACACACACACACACACACACACACACACACTTTTACGTCAATTTTTACAACGGCTTTAATATGCATTAGTGTATATACTCGGTGCATTTGATCGTTATTAAACTAAATTAAAAAATGTTTTAAGACTTATAATGTAGCGTTATAACAAGATCAATATTTAACAAAAATAATATAAATGAAATATGATTATTTTATTTTATTTTATTTCGTATAAATACTTATATTGTTTTAATATTGGACGGAATAATATATCGCGAAATTGTTCTTATAAGGCTGTTCGGGTATTGATAACAGCAAAATGCAATCAGGATATAGCGTCTCATCATGTGTCATCAAATAATTGCTATGTCTACAATAAAAAATTTCAGCTGTTTTAAATCTTTTAAATTAATTGTTTATATCTAATATATCGACAACACAAAAAATATTTATACGCATAACTTTGTTCCTGTTACTCTTAAATTCTATTATGCGACAATTTGCATATGCATAAAAAAAGTTTATACGCAAATTGCATGTCTTCATTCAACCACACATAATACGTGATAAAATGATAAATGTAGTGGAAGAATAATGCAAAAGAAGAAATTGAGTATAAAAAATAGTGCCTATTTAAGAATGAAAGGGAATTAAGAGAAAAAAGGGTTTAATTTAGAAAAATTATAATGTAAATATTATATTAACGTTAAATTTGTAATTGTGTGTTTTAAATTTATATATTAATAATATTGTTTACTTCTTCTATATATAGGTGAGAAATACTTGTTAAAACTGACGAAATATCCACGATGGTACCAAGATTTTTCCTCGGATCAAGTATGAACGTAAAAATGAGTGATCTCATATAAATTTTGTTTCGATAAATAAAGTTCAATATTAAAATGCGATAAAATTGTTTTCTGTAAAAATGCTATTTAATAAAATGCACATCGGGTATTTTTAAAATTTATCAATTTTGAAATATATTACTTTTATATTTAGATTAAAATAGTGTACAACAGCTTCAATGTGCACTGAGTGCGCACTAGTTCTGCCAATGAAAAGCGCTATTAATATCATATTTAAGAGATTTTTCTAAAATAAAATTGTAATTCTCTTTATGTACTATGAAATTAAGTTATATAAAAATTCATAGATGAAGTATTTAATGAAACTGGAAAACGTAATGCTCACCGATTACGAAGAGACAAGGACAAATGGCACACAAACGACATTAATAGCTATTGGTGTCATTTCAACGTTGTTTAAATTAAAGCCGAGTACTATAAAAGAATTACATAAATCGTGCAAATTGAATAGCGTCAATCTTCTACGAGAAATTTACAGAATCTTAACGGGAAATGATTTCTGTGAAGAAGGATATAGTATATTTCACATTTTATTTTTATTTAAAACTTAAATTAAAGAATTATAATAACGTAACTCTTAATAGAATTCTTTATAATAATTATAGAATTATTTAATTTCCAGAGAAAGTTTACGATTGCAATGAGAGAATAATATTGTCGGCAATTGCATTTTTAACACTGCCAGAAACGGTGAAGGAATTACATAAGAGATTGCCAGCAGTGACTATGCCAAAATTACCACCGAAACGTAATTTTATATTTCAAAATATTATTAAAAAGTTTAATCAACTATAATTGAATATTCAAATTATTAGATACGTATTATAATTACGTGGGTAAGATTCAAATCAAACCGGGGCTTTTATTCTCTATAAACATAAGAATAAAAAAGTCCCGGTTTGACTTGAACCACCCACGTACTACAATTATCAATATTATTACATCAATGAATAATTATCTTATAATTATTTATTGTTAAACTAATTAAATATTAAATATTATTCTCTCACAACTATAATACATATTTTAGCAAAACTAATAACATGTCTAGTAAGACGAAAAGATATCTGTCCTTATAAGGAAGAATTGTTTAAACGTCCCGATTGGGCTGGTTATCGAAATGCTTTGCAGAAGTGGCGAAAACATTGTAAATTAATTGCAATTCCGAAAGTAATCTTGCCATTGAATAAATATGGCCAGTTTTTCATTGATGACAGATCAGATGTTAAAAAGCAGAGAAAAGATACTTCCACTGAACATCTCAAAGAAATCGATACAAAGGAATTACAAAAAATTTCCTCAACGTATGATCGTCAGAAAGGTAAAAATGGATCACCCTATATATATATATGTGTGTGTGTGTGTGTGTGTGTGTGTGTGTGTGTGTGTGTGTGTGTGTGTGTGTGTGTGTGTGTGTGTATGTGTGTGTATAGATGTAATGAGTATTGATAAACTTTTCAAAAATACAGATTCCTCGAGAGAAAGAACTTTGGAATCGGCAAGTTTCAATATTCTTCAACCGGCAGACGACAATAAAAAATCTAGTTTCAGGATTCTTAGCAAAAAGCCAGAAACCGTTGAATATCAAATTTATGGTATAAAATATAGTGCTATATTATTGATTTTTCTTAATGAAAAATAGGAAATTCGTATTTTAAAAGATATAATAATTTGAAGTTATAAATAATATTAGAAAATTGTACTATCAGAAAACTTTATAATTTTCTTCAAATATTTGAAAAATTTTAGGTCCGCCAAAACCACCAGGAGCAGGTAAAAAATCTTGGCTGAGAAAGAAGGACGCTCATTATATGATAGCTGGAGTATCCACCGAAAATTCACATGATTATCCTGTAACTTACGAGATCGCAGGCGTGGCTAATGTGACACCCAGCAACAGCGACGAAAAATTCTTCACGATGCTGAAACTCGGCGACCAAATCAAAAAGATTTTCCCCAGTGGCAGAGAAAATCTGTCAATAAATTGGCAAGAGTGGTTGCAAAATGCCGATGAAAGCTATAAACAATTGGAGGAAGAAACTGATGAGTTAATCAAGAGTGTGCAGGCAACTATAAAATTGGCATTTCCTGGACCTTTTTGCGATAGTTGCTGTTCCTGCCGACAGACTAGAAAATTTGAAGAACAATTGCAACAAAGCAAGATTAGCAAGGCGTTAATTGATGGAGAGAAAAATATGTGAGAAATTGTTACAAAGGCTAGATTTAGACAAAATTAGATAATTTAAATGGTTATTTAAATTGTCTAATCTATAATGCTTATTATATAATTTGTCTTTTACGATCAGTTTAATTAAATAGATTACAACAGTTAGCAATTTTAATATTAATTTCGAAATTCTCAAAAATGTGGATGTTTACATCTTTTGACATCCTCTGATTCCAATTATAGAATTTTGGAGATTCTAGAATTTTTAAAACCCGCGGTTTCTAAATTCTTTTTTTTTTTTTAAGATTTATATGTTTTTTAATCTTATAATCCTTTTAAAACTCCTCTTCAAAACTTAAAAAGTTACAGAATTTTGGAAATTAATGTTTTAAAAACTCAATGATGTAATGATCATAAAGTACAAAAATGTTATTTTTGACAGACATATCGCAGATTCGATGGCAATACAATCTTCAGGACAGAATCCAACAGAATTACCGATTGATCAGGTTGCTGAAGATGAGATTAGAATGAACATAATTCACCCTATTAAAAATGTTCCACCTTGTTCATGTCCTATTCAGCAAATGGCTCATAAGGATATTAGTTTATCTATAAGCAAGGAAAACATTCCTTGCACGAAAGAAGGATTGTGCCCCGGAAAGAAGTATAGACCAAAAGAACCAGGTGCATATTTTTGCAAAATGTATCCTGGAGATAAATTCTGCAAGTATTATCCTTTCATGAAAGAAATAATGAAGATGGAAAGAAAAAAAATAGAAAAACAAAAAGAAAAAGAAGTAAAAGAAAAGACAAATTTCATTGAAGCGGTTAAGAGAGAGATTCAAGTTCCAGAAAAAGACATTATAGAGGAAATGAGAGATAAATTTATTCCTGATCCTGATTATCCTGCTTATGACGATCCTTGGAATATATCACGAACTGCGCCCCCGGTAAAAATAATTAAAACAGATTGTGAAGCAACTTTGAAGTTGACATCTCCAGAATGGCCTATAACTTCTTTACCATTAAAAATGCAAGAGAGGCAAAATGACATCTTCTCGAAGAAATTGAAGAAAAATGATATTTTAGCCAAGAAAATTAATACAAAAATCTCCTTAAAATCATCAAAAAATTTTCAAAAAGGAATGAGCAAAGGAAAAAAGGAAATAAAAAATATAAAATACCAAAAAATAGAACCGGTACCTTTAAAGAGAATTATATTTAATAAAAAAGGTACAAAACTGTTGAATACAAGTTCCAGATCGATGACAATATCCAAAACGGAAAAGAAGCAACAAACGAGATCATCATTGCATAACAATCCAACTAAGCAATCTAACAAAATTAATAAGCTAACTAAACATAGTTTCGTGAAGAAAAATAGAAAGAAAAATATGGTAGATGAAACTGAGAAGATTGAAAATCGCAAGCGAGAAATGGAGCGGTTAAAGAATATGTTCAAATCTTTCGCGGGGATTTTAGGAGACATTCAGCCGGCGGTTCTCCCAGAAGAATTATTAGCAATTAGTCAACGTACTCCAGAAAAGAAAACTGAAAAGATAGATTTTTCAGCTACTGATGACGAAGAAGAGATACGTAGAATCAAAAAGGAACCTTGCGGTTGGAAAACGAAATCGGAGCAGGAACTACCAGCGAAAAAGACTCTTACCTATCTCTGCGAGCCAGATTATCCTTTAGAGACAATAGCAGTACGTCCCGGAGGACGACCGTGCCAATGTAGAGAAAATAGAAACAAGAAAAAGATTCTTACGTATAATGTAAGTGGTTTGGTTGAGAAGAAAAGAGATGAAAGAAGAGCTGACAGAAGGAAATTAAAGGAAGAAAATAGAATAATTGACGGTGTCCTTTACGTCACGCCACCCGTTAGTCCCCGAAGAAGTGATGAATACGTTCCAGAATACGATCTTCTCGACTCGCCATACGACATGTGTGTTAGCGAAGCTACGGATGAAAGGTTGAAGCTAATAGAAAAGTATTCCGGCCCCAAAAGTTTGATAGAGAAAATACGAAAAAAACCAAAATCATGCAATTGTTGTAATAATGTAGTCATCAAAGAAGATCACTTCATCGATCAGAAGAGAGATCTTGAAGAGACTAGAAAGAAATTTATGGAATCCAAATCATCGAAAGAAAGATGGCAGACAGCTTTGAAGGATGCAGCACTGATAGATTATTTTACGCAACGCGACAATAACGTACCTTGCTGGACAACCTGCAAGAAAATTGCTCGAAGTTACAGGTTAATAAAAAAACATTAGCTTAACAAAATCATAATTATTAAAGTTATTAAATATTTCATTATATTAATCGTACTAATACTTTCAATTTGCAACATTAAATTCAGTAATTAGTAATTTTGACTTGTTTTAATAAACAAGTAATTTAATATTTAATTTTCAATATATCATTTAAACATGATCAATATCAGTAATTTCGTATATTATAAAATATATAAATTATTGTAGACCTCACAAATTGAAGGTAGTAAAGCCAGTGTGTGAATGTAAATATGAAAGAAAAATTGTGGAGCGAAATGAAGAAAGAATGAAATGGAAGATACGTCAACGAAGATTGAAGGATTTGAAGAAGCAATCTTTCATGCATGTTGTCGATATCTCAAGACCAATGATAGAGGATAAAAAGTTTATTATATCTGATGTGAAGAGGATCCCGCGGGAAGACGAGGAAGATGACATTGAGTATTGTATATCAGGTGTGACAGAAGATATTTCTATGTCGCCACCTCAGAAAATAATTGACGGTCTGAAAATGTCTACGCCTTTCCAAACACCCTCATCCAGTGAGGAAGATATTTTACGAACTGCTGTTTTGCATCGACATTGGTCGCCCATGAATATTCCACCAGGTCCGTTGCCGAGGAAGGACGCCTTAAAAGAAGAAATGGAGCGTAAAAAGAAAGTTAAAGATGAAGCATTAAAGTTGATTTATGGGGACAAGAATGAGCAAAATACATCATATTTAACGACTCATAATGACCAAGAAGAATTGATTAAAAAAGTTGATAAGAGAAAAGATGATATGAAGGAAAGTCATATAAGTATAAAGAAGGAAACGTCTAAAGTAATAATGGGATTACAATCATTGAATAAGAAGACTCGCAGCAAAATAGGACGAAGAGGCGTACCACATAAAGAAACTACTGGCAAAATAATTCGTGAAAATAAATATTCTAAGAAAATTATTGACGAGGTCGACTATCAGCAAAATGTATCACACAAACAAATCGAAAAGACCAAAGAAAAAATTGACGATAAGAGTCATCGGATAAACGGTGGTGGCGATAAGAAATATGTAAACAAGTTTGATCAATCGCTTACAGCAATAATGAAGGTATTTTCGTGAATCTTTTTAATTTTTGATAATTTAACTCGCAGTATATTAATACCAATTATGTTATTTATGAATAAATATAATATCAATATTGAATATAGATATGTAAAATATTAGGTTGAATTAAAGAAAATGGCTGCAGAAGGTTATACATTTGCCAAGTTACCGAAATGTTATCTAATGCCGCAGCTCCAGGATTGGGTCATGTACAGGCAGGGTGTTGTTTTCTCGGAAACGGACAAAAGTATAACTTTGATGACAGAATTAATCGTTTTTTTATTTTTAATCAGCTTTTTAACTTTCAATTTACTTTTTATTTACTTAATTTTTTCCCTTGTTAGAAAATTTGATGCAAGAGACCCGTACCATTTGGGACATAACAAGTAGAAAAATGCCTATGCAAATTGAGAAACCGTCACTGCACATGACGAAACATCAGTTGAAGAGATTAACCTTTGATCAAGCCGAGAAAATCAAGAAAAAGGTTGACTATCAAATTGTCATTATTTGAGAATTTAAATACAAAAGTCACATATACATATACATTAAATCCGTAATGTCCCTTGATTTTTAAATTTTCTTTCTTTTATATCTTTAATAGGTAATATTAATTTCTTAAATATTTAAGTTCTAAAATTCTGTGTGTATATTTTATTTAAAAATAATTAATTATTATAATCTGTATTTCTCTCAAATAGATTGAAAAGATCAAAGAGGTATTTCACAGTGAAGTACGTAAGACACGTGTTTCTTATGCTCGTATGATGTGGAGTACCATGGAACATGGGAAATTCCCTTCCGCGTCGTTCAAGAGAACTTTTTTCACGTATATGGCTAGCAAAGAAGCCAATGGACATGTTTATAAACCGTGGTTACCTTCTGAAATACGCGGACAAGATCTCAATTTCTGTTGTCAATAATTGTTGATTAATTTACTGCATATCAGTTGTTTACTTGATTTTAGCATATTTTTCATCAATAAAATTAATTGATACACAAACATTTTATTAAATTTTATTTATACTAATTAAAAATTGCAGACTTTCCTCTTTTCAGCGCAATTTTTGTTTTTTCAATAACTGAATACTTTCGAAAATGACAGTTGATTAGTTTCAACACATTCCCGTGGGACACCCTGTATCAGTTTTTTATCGATTTTATATTTTAAATAATTTTCTGAAATCTATTTTATATTTTTTATTTTAAATAAATTGTATCTTATCGATCCATCACATGTGCAGCACATGCTAAATAAATTCTGTAGTGCAAAGTCGAATGATTTCACATTTAAAATACGTTGTGCGGTTAAAGGATGCAGAAATTACCATCATAAGACAAAAAATGAATCGGATTGAAAGGAATCGGAAAATTTTTCGGATTGAAAAGCATACTTAAAAGCATACGTTCGAATTTCGCGCTTAATTATGACGTATATGCTTGCTACATATTTGATTGGCCAGTGGGCGTGGCCATGCGCAAGAGCATACCTTTGTTTTATATCATGACCTCACCTAAAGGTATCTTTACATGGCAGCGTCAAGCGTCGAGCTTCAGAGCATACGCAGTGATATGGAATAATAATGGAATCTTGTAGTTTACACTATATAATGTAAATAAATATAAATTTTCAGCATTATATGTTAGGATAGTAATGTATATCAGAACATAACCTCTCATAATTTACCATTTTGCGTCAAGAAGCTGTGCAGAAGATTATTACGCAGGAGTCTGGAGATTCAAACTTCTGAGGGTCGATTGTTATATATATGTCGATTGTTATGTAAATATAGGTCGATTGTTATGTAAATATCTCGAAATGAGGTGAAAATTACAAAAATGAGCAAATTTACTAGAATATTCATAATTTAATTGGTCAATAACTAGTAAATTTGCTCACTTTTGTAATTCTCACCTCATTTCAAGATACACAATCAACTCCCTGTTCAGATGCTCGACGCTCGACGCTTGCATGTAATGGCACCTTAAGGTTTGTTCGCGTCATATGCTCCAACATGGTCCAATATGCTCCTACTATAACTCTTACTCACTCCAACGCGCTTGATAGAGTGGTTGCGTTCAGCAGAACGTTTGTTTTGCAACTGTTGGAAGTTTCCTTCGCGCTAATTGGATCATACTTTTAGATCTAGAAGAATGGTCCTATCTCAGCAGACAATCATAAAACGGTTGTAAAACTGTTGAGTCTGCTGAACGCAGCCAGTGAGTAGGAGCTATGGTAGGAGCATGTTGGAGCATATTGGATCTTGCGACGCGAACAAACCTCTAGTATCCTTCCACCATGCTCTTTGTTGGATTCACACTGCATCCGATTTTCGTCGTATGACGAAAATCGGATGCAGTGAAAATCCAGCAATAGTTTTATATCATGAGCTCACTGAGCGCTCAGTGAGCGGTAATAGTACTAAATGCACCCAGTTACGTACGAGTTTAATATTTGTTTATCATCAACTTCTAATTGTTTCCACATAATTTGAAAAAACAACAAAAAGTTTACAAAAATATATTATAATTAAAAAATAAAGAAATTTCTAATTTAAAGAAAGAAAATTATTTAAAAAAAGAGAGAATTTCAACAAAATGTCGACTGGTATATTAATGTTTTTATATGCAATATTATTTTGCAGAATTAAATTGTAATTTATTTATCCGATCTTTGTTTATTCATTTACTTATAAATCTTCAGAAATAGAAACGAGTATGTTGGTGATCGTTCTGGACGTCAATCCGATGCATCGTATAGTGAAGCAAGAAATCAAGATACTGTCACAGTGTTTAGACTCTACAATTGTTTTTGCCAATGCTCACCTTATGCAATCGTCTAATAATGAACTGGCAATAATGTCATGTCATAGCCATGGTGCTAGCTTCCTTTATCCTTATGAAAATGCAATAGAAATAAGACAGATAGATGGGCAGTACGAAAAGTTTACCATGGTAGAGCGCACGGTACGTCAGCAATTGCAGCAGGTCATTAATGAGATCTCCATGGGTGTTCCATTGAATACGGAGAGTCTCATCTCTGGTGCACTCAGTATGGCGTTGTGCTATATTGCTCGGTTGGAGCGAGAAAAAGTTGCTGGCCAGAAGTTGCATCCTAGGATATTGGTGATTACTGCCAGCAATGACTCGGCCACGCAGTACATGAATTACATGAACATATTCTTCACTGCACAGAGAATGGTTTTGTCTCTCTTTATTGGATTTTTATATTATTACAATAACCGAATTGATAACTCGTAACACAAAGACATCCGCCTGACTACTTTCAGAATGTCATTTTGGATGTGTGCAGCTTGGATCAAGAGCTGACACTCTTACAACAGGGCTGCGATATTACTGGTGGTAATTACCTGAAGGTGCCACAGCTTGCTGGATTGCTGCAGTATTTATTGGTGAATTGTGCATGCTTAATTTTATTAACACAAATACAATTATTATATATACGATTCATTTCTTTTTTTTATAATTTAGTGGGTTTTCCTGCCAGATCCCAGTGTTAGGTCAAAATTGGTTCTTCCTCCACCAGTAAAGGTGGATTATAGGGCAGCGTGTTTTTGCCATCAGGAACTTATTGATATTGGATACGTTTGTTCCATATGTTTATCAAGTAAGTATTAAGTTATATATCAATAACGTAAGAATATTTTAATTAATGTGAAACAATGTAAAAAACAACATAATATTAAACATTGTTAAATTTATTTATATTAAAAAGATATTATTGTTTTTTAGTCTTCTGTAAGTTCAGTCCAATATGCACTACTTGCCAGTAAGTTTCTTTAGCTGATATTTTTTAATTATCTCGTATATTAAAATATATCATAAATGATAATTGTGAATTTATTGTGAATTTTTTTTAAGCACGGTATTCAAGATGCCAGGACCTATGCCAATAAAGATGAAGAAGAAAAAGAAAAATGTAGACGTCGTCCATTAATTGTATATTTCACACATAGCAATTACATTTTGTAAATAAAACTAACGTCATCTTATAAAAACTGCTCTTAGGATTATGATTTTCTTTAATCATAATCGGTGTGATTAATTGCACAGAATTGAACAAATTCATTAAAAAAAAATTATATCTGTTTTAATAGATAATTTTCGAACATGTTAATATAAACCGTATCTGTGTATAAATATATCCAACTGTTTAAATCAAAATTATGTTGGAATGCATAATTTGACTGTTGCTTGTTCGTGCTGTGATTCGTATCCAGACTATTGAATCAGCTGCTATGTTGTGGCTCGATTGTGCACGGATGGATGTTGCGGCACGTAACCAATGCGTTCCTGAATCTCGCTCTGAGGAATCTTGCCTCCCCACGAGGGTGGATTCATGGACGAAGATGCTTTTCTTTCGGGATCCTTCTTAGACTCGTGTGCTTTCCTTATTTCCTCGTACACCTGCAGATCGTCCAAACGCATTTCTATCCGAGTTGGACTTCGTCGTATCATCTCACTGAAAAAAAATAGTATTACATTTTTTTATATATAATGCGAATGTTATCAGAATTTAATCGAAAATAATGATTCGTAAATATATATGCGACTTCTGAAACGCGCTGTATATTCTCCGAGAAAAGAATGAGTAAAATACAAATGTGCATATCGAAAAGAATAAGAATAATTGCATAGGATAAAAAAAGAAGAAAATCTTGTTTTTTAGCTTTCTTTTCCGGTATACATATAAACCTAATGTATGCTTTCTATTTTTTATTCTTTTACTTCTTTTTCTCTTTTTGAGACTATTATATAGACAGTCGTGCATTTTTGACTCTTTCAAAGTTTATCAAATTTTATTTCGGGCAATAGAAAATCAAGAAACATAATAAGAGGTAAAAAGGCAAGAGATGCCTAAAAACTTAAAAAGTGGTAAAAAAAAAACAAAGAAACAAGAAGCATCGTAAATTAAACTTTAGGCCTTTGAATTTTGCTGAAATTGCAAGCGCTCCAAATTAAACGCACATTCCAGCGATTTCCCGCAATCGACTAAATTTTATCAAAAATGAGCAAAGGAGTGATAATATCCCCTTTGATCCGGGCACCAGACTTCTTCGATACGTCCCTGGTATCCCTCGCGTATATGGTGAGGTACACCGGGTATATGACAATTCACCCAAATAATCCCAAACCGAGGCTGCCTCGTACGAGTCTCGTCGCCTGGCAAAGCCCTGTAAAACCCGTTGTGTCGGCGATCGCACTCCCTTAAAAATCCCGTCCGAACGTTTCAGACCAAAAGTCGAGTCTGAAATCGCGCTAAGACCATAAGACTTGAAAGCTGAAAGCGCCCTGAAAATACGAGCAAATACGAATGCGAATTGCGGAGGGGCTGGACACGCGCGGGCACGCTTTCGGTCGGGCAGCCCGTTTTCCTGCAAACTCCCGCGGAATTTTGCGGCTACCCGGCGACGTGCGGCGGCTACTAGTCAAGTATATCAATCGCAGGCAACCGACGGCGCGGGAAGATGCTTTACCTCGAAGATTACGTCGAAAGTGCGTAGGAGAAATGGCACGGCTCGCTCGTAGAATCCTAACCTCTTCGCATGGCGCGCGGCTAACCTAAAACCTAAAATCACCTAAGAATCTCGCGGGCCGATTTGTTCCACGACAAATGCAGCCATTTTTGTTTATGTTCCGCGGATCACGATCCGCACCTCCTTTTGCACGTCGATCGCGACCTGATCCTGATCGCTGTAAAATGCTACGGGAAAGGCGCGTTCGCTTGACAATGCGACCTTGCGTCGAAAGGTTAGGCGCGATGTTTCGTCGATACGCTTGTTGCTATTGCCAAGATAAAGAAGAAAATAATAAATTATTATTAAGTAATAAATTATTATTTAAATCCACGATCCGTTTGTTGATCCATTAAATTTCATTGTCCAGAATTAAAAATTCATTAAAAATCTTTCCTCTGAAACACAATTCCTATGTACATAGTCACAATTTTTTTGTTAGTACAATATGAGGATAAATAGTAATAGAATATTGCCTAAAAATACTAATTTTACTGAACTTGCTATTACTGTAGACAAATGAAGTAAATAAAATAGTTTAATGTAAGATCATGTAGCAATCAAAGGACTCGTTACTTACATTATATTGAGTACTTTTTATGACAAGTCGACATAAATGTCATTCTCTTGTTGTTATTCAAGGAATGTAAAGAAAGAAAAAACATTTGTGTCAACTTGTGACATTAAATAAAAGGACATCTATTAACTATAGAGATTATTAGGAATAAAGTATAAGTAAATTTGCATGAATAACTAGTTCAGGAGTAATTACTTTGTATAAAATACTTTGTATAAAATTCTCTCTGATTATCTTTTTGCTAATGTCTGTTTTATGGTTTCAGTGATCGAGCATCTTCCACAAGAGCTACGAGACCGATTTACAGAGATGAGAGAGATGGATTTAGGTGTACAAAGTATGTATTATTTGATGTAACAGAGATAAAAATATAATGATAAAATTGAATAACAGTGATAAAAAAAACTCTAAAATATAAAACTAACGTCATCTACCTTCAGATTCCATGGATAGCCTTGAGAAAAAAGTGAAGACATTTTTTTCCAATGCTAAGAAGATGAAACCTAGTGAAAAGGAAGCAGAGTACGAAGCTATTAGAAAAGAGTATTATAAGACTTTGGAAGATGCCGATGAGAAGGTGCACCTAGCCAATCAGATGTACGACTTGGTAGACAGGTACCTGAGAAGGCTCGATCAGGAGCTACACAAGTTCAAGATGGAACTTGAGGCAGACAATAAGGGTATCACCGAAATCTTGGAAAAAAGATCCCTAGAGTTGGACCAGCCACCCACGAATAGCAGCCAAAAAGAAAATCGTTACAGCTTTACTCCGAGCAGAACGCGAGATAATCATAGCCATTGTAAGTAGCATCTCTACGTAATAATGCAATTTCATGTTTAATTCTGATGGCTTTCAACTTAAAAACGAAAAACGCGTTGTTACGTTAAACTCAAAAAATATTAACATACTAGGATAATCTATAAAAGTCACTAATTATTAATTATAAACTTGTAAATGGAATGAACTTGTAATACATAACAATCTTTAGAAATAATCTCCTAATTTTACACAAATTTTAGCTCGATCGGAGAAGCGACGGGATTCCAATGCATCTTCTACGTCGGTCGAAAAGAGGCTGGCGATTGAGAAGCTGCCAGCAACGACTAGTTTACCGGAGTCACGGCCGGCATCAGCGAATTCCGCGCCTATTATCGCAACGAATAGTGTCACGCCGGCGCCAGCAGCGATTGCTAATTCCGTAGGATCAGTATGTTATAATCTCGGCCATATCGGTGCCGGTGGTAATGCTATTGCGGCAGCCGCGTCACAGGCGATCGCGGCCACGCAATCAATGCAGCAGGGTAGACGCTCGGCTAGTTTAAAGGCAAGCTATGAGGCCATTAATACCGGTGGCGTACATGCTGCGGAATTCAGCAGGGAACTGGCTGGCGCAGCGCAAACCGCCATCGCCGCTATCCAGGAGACTACAAAGAAGCATAAAAAGTATGTAGAATGTGTATAATGAAGAAACAAACAGTAATTAAATTTACTCAAAATAATTAAATTGCCCCTTATTTATAAATTCTCTTTAAGTTTTAATAGTTTGGATTAAGAGATTAGTCTTTGTTATATTAGGAATATTTTTGAGCAAATAAGAATGTGTGAAAGATATGAATGAATGAGTTAAGGAGAACTGTAAATCAAGTCCCCTTCTTGGCTTGTAAATATGCTGAAGCGAATAAATATTCTATTCTATTCCTATTAGAGATACTTTACAATCTTGCATTTAATTTAATGGAAAAATTTCTTGTATCGTAATTATTTAAATAACACATTGTTATTACGAATTCTAGGAAAGTGACAGCTACCGTGCCGAGTTCGAGCGTGATCGCAGCTACAGTGCAACAGCCCGTGTCACCACCAGTGGTTACCACAACCACGCAAGTAGTGGATCCGGACAATCCAGATTGGACATACGATCCAAATGAACCGCGCTATTGCATATGCAATCAAGTTTCGTATGGCGATATGGTTGCTTGTGACAATTCAGACGTAAGACCTGTCGACATGCTCAAAGTATATAAACGAATAGATTTATAATGATTGCTTTTTAGTGCCCCTTTGAATGGTTCCATTATCCATGCGTGGGGATCACTGCACCACCCAAGGGGAAATGGTACTGCCCTCAATGTACATCCTCGATGAAAAGACGTGGCGGACGAAAAAACTGATTAGGTGAGAAAAAGAAGAAGCTAAGGAACTGTGTTGACCACATTAAGAAAGCATCGCTGCTACTACCTCTTAGATACTGTCCGTCAAGTACCAACTTAGTTAGGAAGCTGTTTTTAGCTCTGATTTTGTATAACTTTTTTAATGTGCTGTTTCGAGTCCGCGTCATCATCTTGATCTTCGGTCTTCTCTTTTCGTAATTGACCGAGCATAAAAACGACAATGTTATTCCATCAAAATCTCAAACATCTAATGAATATATCGAATTGAAAGCTTTTGTAAACATCTCAATGTGTTTCGCATACTGCCGTTACCTCTGAGCAATAAAGAAAAGAGGACAAGGTGAATACAAGGTTAATTCGGAAAATATGATAATCGTTATAATATATTCTTCGATGAGTTTTAAATTGACTGCTTCTCCTCAAAAATTTAGAGTTAGGTATTGGCTCTTTAATGAAGAATTTATTGACAAATTAAGCTGTAAATAAGTAAAGAAACTCCATTTTTTAAAAAGTAATTTTAGATGAGTCTTTAGTTTAATATAAATTTAATTTTACGTAAAAGTTAAACCTTCAGTATTTAATATTAAAAATGATGAGTTTACTTTCTTGATGAAGGAAAACTGAATGAATAAACTTTGAATTCGTTTGAGAATAGCAACTGTTTGGAAGCCACTTTATAAA